TTTCACCCAGAGGTGGTGGGTTTCTGGAACTCACTGCCTAAAAGAGTGGTAGAGGCAGGAACGCTTGAGACATTGAAGAACTGTTTCGATGAACTCTTGAAATGCCATAGCAAACAAAGCTCCTGGGTGGGGGTAGGGGCTATGGCATTGTGTAGGTATCATCCCTACCTTTGAGGCAAGGGATCCCAGTTCAGTCCAACCTGCTTCAGAACGGAGTCATAAGCATGTCTGAACGGGTTGACGAAAACACCAATAAATGCAAATTCTTTAAAGGGGGTAGAAAAACAAAGTTGCTGGAAAAGCTCAGCAGGCCTGGCAGCATTTGCGAAGGAGAAAACAGAATTAACATTTCGGGTCCGGTGACCCTTCCTCAGAACTCCTTAAAGGGGTCTTGTGATGCAGTGATAGTGTCCCGACTGCTGAGCCAGAAGTCTAAGTTTGAGTTCCACCTGTGCCAGACAAGTGTCATCATGTGTCAGAATATGTTGATTAAAAATACCTATAAGGCGATGGGCTAAGTGGGACAAAATGGGATTAAAATAGATGGATGTTTTATGACCAGCGCAGACACAAGGGGCAGTGCTGCAAAAACTCTAGTCATTTTGCCTCATCCATGATGGCTATCTGAGTTATTGTACAACCCAGGTTTAGTTCTTCCTTCACTATCCTAAAAGGGATGACCAAATGAGTACCTGAATCTCTGCCTTTGTGAACATTGGCATATTTCAATGCTTGAGCCAAGATGTTGTATTTATCTCAAAGATAGCAAGAACTGCAGATGCTGGAGTCAGAGTCAATACAGTGTGGTCCTGACCTGAAACGTCGATTTTCCTGCTCCTCTGATGCTGCCTGACCTGCTGTGTTCCTCCAGCTCCACACTGTATTGACTGTTATATTTATCTATCAGACCATGGGAAATGTTTGTGCATACCTGCCTGGGCCTGCAAATTTACTTATCTTAAATGTAGAAATATTCTACCCATAACCCAACACACTTACAGATATGCAACCAGCAGCATGGTTACAGCTTCAAACATACAACCAAACATGTTAAATGGTTTAAGTAGCAGCAATGCTGATGTCTTCACTCTAGTTACAAGGAGAACTGCTTAACAACATATTTGTAACAAAGCTACAACATTATGGAAAGATAAATCAGACTTAGTTGTAAAGCTTAAAGTTTAACTGCTTCAATTTGAGAACGTTTCATTCCGATGCTGAACATAAAGGGATGACTTACCTTCTTCTTTGTCACTTTTAGCGTTTTGTGTGTCAGTATTTTGTTTTCCTTCAAAGTGCTGTCGAGGGCGGCAAATTTTGAAGCTCCATCCTGAAGATGTACAAAGAAAACCAACTACTCATTCACTGTATCTAATCTATATCTCCCATAATATCAAATGAGATAACATCAGAGATTTCAAAACACAAGCCTTTATTTTGAAAACATTTTACAAACCTAAAGCCTTATGCCAACATTTGGCCAATTCGAACTTCAAGATGTGATAACCAGGCAATGATATTTGGAAGTGACATTACAATTTATCCCATACAGAATAGTTTAGCACAAAACTAATATTAATGCTAAACACATAAAACATTCACTTGGGAACTATTTCAGATTCCCATCCAAGTTGACAAATCAAATTGTTGGACATGGTGAAGTTGATGCATCAAACTGCATTAAAAATGGGATACAAAATTATATTTTCTGAAATTTAAAAACACAACAGTGAAAATTATGATTGCTGGGTCACTCTGTTGGAATTCACCAGACAATCGCATTTGGGGAAGTACTTTCAGCAAATACACTGTAGTATATTAAGGTGGTATCTTATCACTACAGTCAGTGGCAACTATGGATCGACACTAAGTATTGATATGGTCACCTTGCTAATGGCACACCCATCTGAATAAAGCTTAAAAAACCATATTGCCAAAGCACATCTGTGTAATATGCTTAAAGATTAACGAACCATGCATCGATATTCACTGTATAATCTAGGAGATAGCCTTATGGAAGTTATACAACTGTCCAATCTTGAACTCACATTTTCCCCTGTATATTTACAGAAATTTACACCACAAAAACAATCATCCTGCATAACGCACATTTTTGATTATTAAAAACAAATCTATTTTTAGATTCAAGTCAGATAGGAAAAATAATTTGAAATTCTGCACTGCGCACCAATAACAAAACACAACAAACAACGTGTGACAGCAGGACAGTAGAAATTCTGGAGCAAACATCCGGACAGCAATGTAAAAACATAGTCAACTGCAACTAGAACTTTAAGCAGTTTGAAAAATGGAGTGTCTGTCAAACTGATAACATCCTAGCATGATTACTGCATTTTGTCCTCTTCAAATACCAGCTTAAAAATGCTTCGATTCAATCTAAGAATGATTAAACAGAAAACTTGCATCTTGACTCCTTTCTGTCCTGGACACACTAGTTTGGTAAAGTGACACCAAAATATTTATAACTAACCAATTATTTAGTTACTTTGTAAAATTCAGGAACAAAATGAGTGGACAAAGAGCATGATAAACAGAGTGAGGAGGAATGGCGAGAAACTTGGTTAAATAATATGCTTTTGAAGAAGGTTTTTGAAGTTCGTTTTAATTGTCCGTTTTGGTCCAAGCTAGTTGAAACTAGATAGTTGATGTCTGAAATACTCAACAAACAAAGCAATATGAATATCTCTCAGTTCCTACGCAGTAAATATTTCTTACTGCAGAGAACAATAAAAGGAAGATACGATAATTGAACAAAAACACTTATGAGAACCAATTAAAGCTCTTCATGTTTGGCCTTGGCTTTTATTAATTATAAGGCCCTCCAAGTGTACAAAGCAAAAGAAAAGAAAACTGGCACATATCCCGCTTTATACATTGCTCAAGAGTTCAAATTGCCAAGATAATAAACACTGAGAAAGATAATTTATGAAGGTTGCATCACTGGAAGCATAACCACATTAGATGTTGATTAAAATGTTAACTGCAATATCCACGTCAATTATAAGAATCATGACAAAACGATTTTGGAAGACTTGAGCTAAGTTAGACCACCCAGAATGCAATACATATATTCCTTTTTGCATTATTAATTGACAGTATCTGTATGCATTCAGCCACCAACTTAGTTCATTGCAGATATTTCGCTTGAAAATACTGATCATGCCCTGAATATAGATACACTGGGCCAAGCGCAACACCTTACCTGCATTAGCAGCTGTCTACTTGCCATAAAGTTATCTTCTTCAGAGAATATATTTGAAAGCTCTTCAAATGTTGTCTTCCTGCTCCTAGTCAAGAGAATGCGACAAATTACTCTTGACAGAATAGAGTCAAGATAACAAATAGCTGACATGGAATCTGACAAATAAGCAAGTAATACAGACAGTGAAGGGCAGTGAAGCATTTTTGCAATAATTCTCGTTATTTTAACCAAAATGTTCAGACATCTTTTGGCACATCTCGGGGCAGGTAGAATTTGAACCCAGATTAGTTAAGCCCAGAGGTGGGGATATTACCATTGCGCCACAAAAGCCCTTCATTGCAGTAGTTTTGGGAAATCTCATTGCAGCAAGAGAGATTTCACTTCCAAGTCGCCTAAAAAAAACAAACATGATCAAATTGTCTGAGGCACAGGAATATAAACTACAAGTGCGCACTTCAAAGAGGTACAGAATGCTTTCTCGGGAGATTAAAATAATTGTGTTCTTTGTATTTTAGTATCCTATACAAACCTCCGGCTTATATCCCCCCGTTACAGCATATCCACAGGAAACTGTGTTACGTTACATCCAACAGCAGATCAGTTTTGGAACACAACAGTTAAATATTTTAAGTTGCCAAACAATTTTCTTTTTCCACTTGAGAAAATTAAATCCTCACTCCTTTGTGAAAGAATGAAAGATTCTGCCAATAAGCCAATTGTTAGGATTGCACCGTAGTGCCTCTGGTAATCCTGTCAACACATCTAGAATGTGAAGATCACTTGGGCAAATAAACTTGGAGGTCAAACCTGCAATTTCCTACCACATAATTATTAAAAAAAAATTACATGGCTCTTTCAGAAAAATGACTTACTTTGACACGGCTGCCCAAGTCTTCTGCAACTTGAATACATTATTCAATTGCAATGCAGAGGTAATTGCACGTACTGAAGAGAAATTTTGCAAAATCCTACATTCCTGTTAGAAAATAAAACATGAGTTCTGTGGAAAAAGCAGTGACTCCCCATTACCCAATACCTCAGACTTTTTAAAATGTTCTTTCAGAAAAACATTAGTTGCAAAAATAACTGGATTCACAAACAGACTTTGTGGGGGCAAAAATTCCACGATTCTTGGCAACTCAAAACCTGATATTCTTTTTTTTCCCTCTGAGACAACCTTTTCAGTTCACTCACTGCCAATCTTTGACTGGTTAGATATGGTTATTGACACCAAAGGAAAGCTTAGAATAAGTAGGATTGAGATTCGGACATCTGAGTGGTGGAAGTGGCGACAGTAGGGAGATGGAGACAGGGTAATCATCTATGTTATATCCATTGCATTCAGCTGATAAATGAATGATAGATTGTATTATCTGCCAGAATAGGAGGGCAGGGCCAGAAGCATGAGATAATCATTCAAGGAAAGCATTCAAATCAGAAAACTGAGTCTACTTTTATGAATCACAAAGTTAGTGATACTGAGTTAACTAATCTTAGCGAAGATAGCAGCTGAACGTCCTTCATCTGCTTGCACCACAGAGGTAGGGAGAAAAATAGAACAAATCAAACCTCCCTTCCACAAGCATAAATTTGTACTTTGCTGGGATTTGGGGGAAAGGGTAGGAAGCCTGCAAGTGTTTGTTATCAGGTCTCAAAACCACTTCTGCTTGGGGAGGAAGGCCAGGGAGGGGGAGGGTCATTAGACCACATGGGATTTATTTGGAGGGGCCTCAATTGGCATAATCAGATAGATGCCTTATCTGATTAAGTCCAGCAGGTAGGTTCTCAAGCCCAGAGTCTTCTGGCTTGAGGGAAATAAGGCTGCTGCAGTAAAAGGTAAGTGATGGAGGGCACTTCAACATGGAAGCCGCCCCTCATCAACTGTTGTAAAAATTCAAATGAGAACTAGAAAAGTCAGGCAAGTGATCACTGTAAGATGGCGACTCCTCTTCAGAATGGCCTTTGACAGCGCCAGTATCTAGGTTGGCCTGTCAGAAGTTCTTGCATCCATGTTTACTACTGGGTGTCTGCCTACATTCAGTTGAACTTCTCCGTATTGTGAAACTGGAGACAGACATCAATGCCTTAAGATTCTTAATGAGTCCAAATTGATGCAGGCAGTGTTGCCAAGACCCAAACCAGACTTCTCGAAAATAGCTGGCAAAGGTATTAATATGAACCTTCATTCTCAACCTTACTAATGAATGAATATTTTATTGTCATGTGTATATGGGAAAATACATTGAAAATACACTTTTGTTGCTACAATCCAGTGCCATTTTGGATTATAAAATGAATAAGAATAAATTACTTAATTTACTTAATTACTTAATTACTAGGTTCCTGTCCTGATTCTTTCCAAATGTACTAGTGGGAATGCCACGTATTGGTGGCAAGGACAAGCCTGACATCAGGTATGATAGCCCTTCCTCACCCTTTTCCCAATTGCTGATTAACATTCTAAGACAAATTCCTTTGGCAAACACATAAGAAACAGACAACCAGGCAAGTTACTGAAGGGCCATCATGTGGGCATACGGAATGCAGAAAATTGAGAATAAAATTTACACTATATCATAAAACTGATTACAGCTCGGAAGGGAGGCAAACAACACTCTGTAATGCCGAAGAAGTAACTTGATTTTTGAAGGGCCATTAAAAATCTGAAATCAGTTTGCTTTTTTATCTCCACATAAATATTTTTGATTATAAAAAAAATTAATATTTCAATGCAACTGTAAACTGAGGCATGAACTATTAGCAGCCAACACTATGGAAATTACGAATGCTAGGATTTGCCATGAAGCATTCAACTCTTCTTCAGAAAACAATTCTGCTCGCGAATTCAAGAGGCTTTCAAACCCTAGACATATCAACACATAGTATGAACGACTTGCACTCTTCCGCCATGGTTGTTTCATGCACTGTGGACTTTAACCTGTCACAAAGGTTAAAAATCAATAAAGAATAGTGTACCTGGGCAACATCAATCCATTTCTCAATGATTTTAGCCCTCTGCTGTGGTTTCAGCTGTTGAGGCCTAAATATGGTGCTGGTGACACATTTCTTAACATTATTGAAATGTGCAACGATGGCCCAGACGGTTGGTGCCAGATCTGGTTGTTCAGACCAGTTGGACCCTAAACATTCATTGGGCACAAGTTTCTTAAAAAGATCCTGATCAAAAATAAAAAGGAAACAAAGATTAAATATATTAGTAGTACCATGGTTTAAGCAATGAACTACAAACAAGATTTTTCCATTCATGGGTAAACTCATCCTGCTAGTTTGCAATTGTACATTCAAAACTGCACAAGCTATTTTGTCAACGACTGAGTACATAATACTCACATTGATGCCCAAGGGGCATACAGATTGTTCAGACAGATCAATACCCTTGAGTTTTCAGTCATCTACTTCTTATTTGTAGGTTAGATTCTAAATCACTGGTTATCTCCACCCACCTCCTACTGCTGGCTCTGTGCACACCATCAATGCACGGCTCTGTTGGCAATAGTCACTCCTACTGATGTTCAGCCCTCCTGGTCCATAAGCGAGACAGATTGGACATCAGTATAGCGGCCCTGCATCATGTCCACTTCTCACATCAAGGCAGATTGACAGAACATAATGGCAGCCACACCCCCTCCCTGTTGGTTAAGTAGACCTCAACGTCGACACCTCCCCACTGTTGCTTTCATGCTGAAGATGAACATTGCCAAACATCCAAGCCTGTCAATTGGTCATTCTGATTGCCTTATGTCCTTCTGCCTCCCTCTTCAAGGCTAACAACTCCCATCAACAATTATGCTCTGACTGTGAAAGTTAACACA